TAGTAGTAGTAGTAGTAGTAGTAGTAGTAGTAGTAGTAGTAGTAGTATGTAGTTGTAGTTGTAGTAGTAGTAGTAGTAGTAGTAGTAGCAGTACTAGTAGTACTAGTAGTACTAGTAGTCCTAGTAGTACTAGTAGTACTAGTAGTAGTGGTAGTCGTAGTAGTAGTCGTAGTAGTAGTAGTAGTAGTAGAAAAGATAAGTAAGGGTTTGAAAGGGCAGCAATAGCAGAACAATTTTTCCCTTAGGGCTCCAAGTTTGCTTATTAATCCCACCCCTAAACAATTGATAACATTATTCACTTCCCCTGGGCTGGTGTACTACCCCCTTGAAAAATTGTTTGGAGCAATGAAATCGTTGAGTTTTAACAAGCTTTTTCGATAACGATTTCGAAGTCAGAATTCCATGAATCAAGCAAACCTCAGGAGAGTTAAGTAAGGATGTAAAAGGGGGGAGCAATAGCAGAACAATAGAAAAGCAAACAAAGCCAAAAGAACAAATTGGGTGAACAATTCATTCTATTATTCCGACCATGATATAAACTAATCAGTGCGTTAATAATTTGGCGAAAACTTTTCTTTATTCCGTCCCACTATACAACTGAGGATGCAACATTATCTTTGCTTCCACGGAGATTTTGTGGGGAGACCAGGTCCCTATAGGAGGAGACTGTGGATCGGGGAAGATCCTTGTGTTGGTGGCCTGCATTCAGGAAGGGGTCCCCAACCTATAGGTGAGGATTTCGAGATCCAGATGAATGTTCAGGCGAGACTTTACCAGTCAACGTTAAGACTCTACGGAGTCTGTCGCTCCTATCCAGGCACGGCCTGGGAGTCTGGGAGTGGGCCCGGACCCTTTTTGCCAGGTGAAGGAGATCCGGCCGCGGAGCCCAAAGGATGGATCCATCGGCTTCAGTGTCCGGAGCTCTTTGGAGGAGAGTGACCGTAAGTGGCCGATGGGGGTCCTGGGAAGACCTGACAAAAGATTTTGCTAGTAGTTTCTTGCTACTAGTTACTAGTAGTAATGCCCTTGCTCCTAGTAGTATGCCCTTGTTACTAGTAGCTTCTAGTTACTAGTTACGCGTATGAAAGGCACACTTTGGGCCCTGAACTCAGTGGGGGATTTGCCCCTGACCCACTGAAGGCAACTTGCCACCTACTCCCCCCCCAAGAGCGGACATGCATCTCGTCCTGAGGGATGATGTAGGCACCACAAGGCCTGGTGCTTGTTAGGAGAGGCAAGAGGGAAGTGTCAGGAGCGCTTGCCCTTGGGTGCTACCGATTTCGAGCTGCTGCTGCAACATGTGGAAAATCAACAGCCACCAGCGGGTGACTGGGTCAGAGTGCATGGGCGAACACTGTGCTGAATGGCGACACTGGCACCACCTCCTGTCCTGGCAGAGCACAGAAGGAGACCTCACCTCATTCACTTCAGCCTGAAATTGGATGAAATTGGTGGGTACTTATGGTGGCGGGTCCAATACCCATCCCGCTGTTTTCAGTTTAGTGTGGCTTTGTACTCCATGTTCTTCCTCAAACTGCCTTCTCAAAATTATGTTGTTCCTGCTTGACCATTGGTTTGGTAGGACACACTCTGGAAGGCATTTGTGTGGTGAGTACTCTACTCTACCCCATTGGAGGGTCATTTTGGGTGTGACAAAACTAACTAAAAAGCGTGCACCGACAGCCAGGTGGCCCAATCGAGTTGGTTCCCACAAGCAGCTTATGTAGGACCTCCAGAACACAGGAATTGAAGCAAGAGACATCCAAGCCGGTGTTTGTTCCCCACCTGCCAGGTGAGGGTTGTTAGATTTTATCACAGTTGTTCTTCCTTCGCCTCCGCCTCCGCCGCCTCCTCGTCCTCCTCCTTTCTCCTTCCTCCTTCCTCCTTGCTTCCTTCCTCGCCAATCTGCTTCGCCGATCTTGTCTGGCCAGCTCCGGATCGCAGTGTGCACCCCTGGACCTCAACCGCAAGGATCCGATCGCA